CTGTAAACTGTATAAGTACAATACAATGAAGTGAATTATTTGACGAAGAAAAGCTTTCTTGAATTCTAAATTTTGTTTAATGACGTGTGAAAATTAGAATTTGCATGAAGATCCGAAATCTAGTAATGATACCTTGACGCTAAGCATTTTTTGTCATACTTATTTCATATTTATTTCAGATGTGGTTTGTTACATTAAATTGTTTTAGCCCTGGCAGTTTACACTTTATTGACCAACGATAGTCACACACATTTATTGCTTATTTATTTATTTTATTGCGTATCGATAAGATCACAGGACTGCAGATTTTGATAAAAATTTCAATGTTCGCACTAAACATTACAAAAATTAAATTAAAGGAATTATTTCTCTTATTATGATTAAGACATTTCATGTGGTAGAAGCCAAATAAAAGTATTGCGAATTTTGATCACTAATACATTTCAGATATTTGCATATAATACAAATACATAAAGATTGAATCATGATTGAATAGTAGCAAAATCGCAAAACTGTGTTTTAAATTTTAATTATTTAGATTAATTTCTATTTAGTTAGAATAATATGTCTGTTAACTTTTAAATATCCATTGATAACCGTTTTAAAGGAACTGATTAAAATAAATTAAAAATTTTTTTTAAAACGTTCAAGTTTCGGTTGTAAAATATTAACAATCAGGTACAAGCAAAAATTTTATTTTTAAATTCCGTAAACTAATAGGATTACAATAAAAAACGCAGGTGGATAATTCTCTGATTGCGAGCGAGCGGGTTTCTGGTCAAAGTAGCGGGATCCTCAAAGAATTAATAGCTTCAATAGCATCAAAAACAGTGGCGATCACGGATTGGCGGAATTTATAGAAATCGTTGACGATAACCTACTATTGTATACAATCCCGACGATTGTTATTCGCAGATTGCGTTGTGCATGACCATGCATACTTTGACCCCGGACGATATTTTCACGGAGGGAGTAAACTGGGGTATCTCGTACGATTTGCCGAACGAGAGTAAGCCGATACTTGAGCCGTTTTTGCAGCTCAAGAAGGATCAAATGAAACCTGCTAATAAGTACGGGAGCTACGGGAGCTACGGGAGCTACGGGAGCAACCAGCTCGACAAAAACGTTGTCTCCTATCCGGGATGGAGCAGCTACGACAAGCATCACTTCAAGCCTGGCAAAAGGAAATATTACAAACCTGATTATTATTATCTGCAGAGAAGGCATCGCAGGGACCTTTATAGCAAACTAGAAACCATCATGAATGCGTAAGTATCATTGTTATTATTATAAACAATGGAAAGGGAATACTCTAAGTTTTTGCAGTATAACTTGGAATGTAATTAATAACAATAAAATTTGGCAAGTGATAATTTATATTACAAACAGTATTTAACCAGCGAGTTGTTTTTGACTAGTATGCTTGTCATGAAGAAGTGGCAACATTTTGTGTTACGACGAGCATACTCGTCGGAAACAGCTACCTGGTTAAGTTAAATAAATAAATAAATAAATAAATAAATAAATAAATAAATAAATAAATAAATAAATAAATAAATAAATAAATAAATGTTAGTAATAACATCCAAAAAAGTCATTTAAGTGATAACACGAGGGGGTTCGTTTCTCGTCGGATACGTTCGGGTGGGGGTGCATTTACGTTCGACGCGCGACGGGACGAGTCCATTAACCCGTATTTCAAAATCGTAGCGACGAATAAATTCTGGCGAAGTGCAGCCGGAACGAGGGGCATACCGTGTAATAAAATGTAACGTGCGGTTTTAGCAGTCGCGATCATGATCGAACGATCACGACCGCCCACATTTATGGAGAGCCGTTGAACCGTCTCAGTTCTTCCGTGTCATTCGCGATGACGTATTTCGGTCGCTTTCTAGTAAAATGTCGTTGTCATTAAATCGTGGGCGGTATCCAAGTCGATGGCGATCTAAGTGCATCGAACACCAACAAACAAGGGCTGAAAATTGACTGCCTCTGGATCCAACGCGACTCTGCACACTTATGGCTGCAGACAGGTTAGAGCATTTGGGAATAACAGTAAATTCTTCCCAATTGTCCCTCAGCTTATAAACAAAATTGGGCACAATTTAGGAAGAGAAGATACTAATATTCAAACTTCGTAGTCGCCGATTTTCAACAATTATAAAAACGAGGCGCAATTGTATAATTGTTGAAAATCGGCGACTACGAAGTTTGAATATTAGTATCTTCTCTTCCTAAATTGTGTCCAATTTTGTTTATAAGCTGAGGGACAATTGGGGAGAATTTAGTGTATAGGTGTCTAATCATGTTTATGTGCATTAGTAGTGAGTCATAAGCAAACTCTTGGAATTGTAACATGTTTTGAAATAACATAGTTAGTATTTGACATCAAATTATACGTTCATGGTTGACAACTTACATCATTTTAGTGCTTTTCTAAACAACATAGTTACTTAGTATTTGACTTTAAATTATATGTTCATAGCTGGCAAAGCACCGTACTACATCAGCGATTTTTTGAGTAACAAAGTGACACAGTACTTGATTTAAAAGTATAATTTGTACCTAGTTGACACAATTGTTATAGTTTTCTTAGTGCTGAAAAATTATGATGAGTCCAAGAAAAAGGACGAATCAATTACATAGTATTTAAATATTTTGTTTGTCAATTTTTGTGAACTCTTTCTATCGATTATCCTCAAACAATTATTGGAAAATGACAATAAATGTCAGAATAAAAAAATTGACAGATGATTCCTATAAACGAGTTGATTGAAACCCAAGTTTCACGTTGAATTGAATCACAATGAATGTAGAAAGTGTGTTAGATACGATTTCCTACGATGGCCTACGTGTTTACTGTATTCACTTTAGGGAAACAAGATTTGAAAGTTTGTAATATGTTGTTAAAAACGTTATTTTGTACATATTTTTATTACACATATTACATATATTACGCTCAGTTTTCGAGATATTCACGGAAAAAGTATCGTTGTTCTACTAACCCAGGCGTAGCCCGGTGTTAACTTCCCTTGCAGTGTAACTAGTCAGACTCATGATTAAAGATTTCATACATGATCTACTAGATATAAATGTTTTTCTTCAAAATCAAAATAAATTTTGCTTCTTTTGTTATCTACGTCTAGGAATGAAAGTAAATCAAGACTTTAAGGAAACAAAAATTTTCTCCTTCTATCAGGAAAACCATTAAAGGCAAAGAAATTGTTGTGCCAGAGGATAACACTGACTTAATCCAGAGTTTTAATATCCGCAAATTTATAATTATAGGAAACGGTTATCATAATGCTATGGACGTCATAAATGAAGGTTAGATTCTGATTTAGTTCCCAGTTAGTAACTAATTAGTTAGTTAGTAACTAATTATCATATTACATAATACAAAATAATATACGAAGTGTCCCAAAATTATGGTACTTCTGGGAAATGTTAGTTTCCTGAGGTTATTTGAAGTTACTTTGTCCTTAGCGAAAATGCAATCCGCGGCTTTGTTTACGAGTTATTAACGAAAAACAGTGACCAATGGGAGGCGAGCTTGGCTGGCACGAGGCGGCCGAGCCAACGAGCGATCGAAGCCCAGTTCCTCTCATTGGCTCGGCCGCCTTGCGCCAGTCAAGCTCGCCTCTCACTGGCCAATGTTTTTCGTTAATAACTCGTTAACGATGCCTCGGGGAAAATTTTTGTAAAGGGAAAAGTTACTTCAAATGACCTCAGGAATCCCTCATTTCCCGGAAGTACCATAATTTTGGAACACCCTGTATAATAGTTAACTTGGAGAACTCTATTCTGAACTTAATCCTCTCTATATGAATGTAAAATCCTATCAAATGAACAAATAATCATAATCACTAGATGAAGACAGGTGGACCAGGTATATCCTATTAATCATGATAATCTGATCATGTGAATCAACCACTTTGTATAAGTGGAGTTTTACCGTAACTGCGAAATTCCTTAACTAGCCTCTCATATTGGAGAGGCGAAAAACGTAACTCGTGTTTATTACATGGAATCAGCGGGAATATAGGATTTACGAGGGACGCTCGAAAAATTCCAGATTATTGGTAAACAGAATTCTATATTTATAATTAATTGATGCGAGCGTAAACTTGTTGAGTCTCGTTTTATCAGGTATTCGCAGTACCGCGCGATACTTGCAATAAAAATGAAGTGTTTAATTCAGTTTTCTATACTTTCGATTGCACTTGTCGATAACATTTGTGAAACTATTAAGTCGACACATCCTCTCTGGTCACACAAGTAAATTTTAATAAAACTTATATGAGGGTTTCTCTCTCTCTCTCTCTCTCTCGTATGCGTTTCTAATAATATTTAATTATTTGAAATTCCTATGGATATTCAAGCAGTCCTCAATAATTGTTACAATTTTGTTGATATTTACTTTAATTGTTGTATAAAATTATTAATTTAATATTAAATATTATTTATATATAATTATTTATATTTATATAATATTATATATATTATTTGTTATTTTTATATTATATTTATATATGTATAATATATAAATTTATATAATTTATATATAATTATAATTTAATATTAAACATTTCGTATCAAAATATTACCCTACAAGGGATGACACTGACAAAATTCGTATCAAAATTCATTAAAATTGACATTCTCTCATTTTCTCATAGACCGTTCTCACGAAAAAGCACCGTTTTTTTGTAAATGTATACGATCTCACAATAAATAAATATACTGAGTAATGCTAGACACTTTGGCCAAGGTATGAACCAGCGTTGGTCATTACTCTATATTCCATTCTGAAATAATTATCCTAATGAATTCCATTGAGTCGAACATTTTATAGAAATAACAACTGTTCATTATTTGTAACAAATTATTCCTTCTAATTATTTCAATAATTCCTCTTCCGCTTCATTCAAATAAATTCATTCAACTGTATTTCTCAAATCTTGCCTCTATCAATAACTTACACACACGCAGATCCACATTTGTTCGCATTTTTCGCTCACTTATACCACTCAAAAACTCGTTTTAATTACAGTTTCTGATTCTGAGTATTGTCTACCACGAAACAAAAGAAACATTCGATCTTCTCGCCCGAAAAAAAAAATGTCAACTCGTTCGCGCGTCTTAGACACTCGCAACCAGTATTCGTTTCGCAGCGAGCGCTCGGTCCCGCATGGATTGTTTTGTTCGAGAAGATTCCGCGTGCCATTTGCATGCATCCAATTTTATTTCGGACAATGGGAACAACCCGACAAAAATAATCAAGCCCCTCGACGGAGGATATAAATCTGGTTATGGGCAAAGCGTGCTCGCGTGAAGGCTGCAGGAGGGGGATAGAAACCATTTCCCCATGGTTGCTGCCCCCAGAAACAGATAAATGGTCTGCCAGGCTCGTTCAGAAACAACCCCATCCCCCACCTAGCTCGCTGCTACGGCAACGTTCCGCGCTGGTTGAGGCGCCACCTTCTGATTCATGCCGCCCTTAAGCAGCTCCAACACCGCCGTGAACCAACCCTCGGCAAACCACCGGAACGCTACCAACGTCTAGAATCAATTTCTGGCCAGTGGCGGATGCCGCGCCATTTGTTCGCGGGACCTCCGCTTGTTTATTTATTCAAAGAAACCATAACTCCACCCAGACGCCGGGGTCCCGCCGAAAATCAACATTCCACGGGGCTTTTACAATCGTCGTCAGCTACGGCTAAGAAACCGGGCACGTGTTGCGTCCTTTCTTGAAATCAAGATGCTTGTGGTTCCTTCTTGATTAATTAACGTTCAGGAGCTAATTGGAGACGTTGGATCCTATCATAAATAACATAATTTGTAAATTATATGTTTTGAAATAACATAGTTACTATTTGACTTCAAATTATATGTTCATGGTTGACAACTTACATCATTTTACTGTTTTTCTAAACAACATAGTTACTTAGTATTTGAATTCAAATTATATCCTTATAGCTGGCAAAGCACTAAATTACATTAGCGATTTTCTAATTAACGAAGTTACTTCGTACTTGACTTAAAAGTATAATTTATGTCTCGTACGCGATAGCACGAGTAGATTATAGTCGACGAAGATTATTTTGAAGGGGATCACATCAATATTATATGGACGAAATAAATGTTTCTTAAAATAAACACAAATAGTACAGTACAGATACAAATTTTCATTTAGAATAAATATTATGCTTTGCATTATTAGTGGCATTATTTTTTACAGCTAATTGTAGACGTTGGGCCGTATCAT